AAATTATTTTCTACAGTCTTATGATAGTGCCCCGTCGTTGCAAGTAAAAAACCCCTAAATATTCTAAAGCATCACTACATCATAAGCATGTAGTTAATTTGTTTGGCGTCAATGCTTTTCATAATTAATAAAATTATGAAAAATATTGTAAAATATTATTATATGACAATATATGTTGATAAAATAACCATGGGTTTTGATAATGAAAATTATCAATCTCATTTTGTGTTAGATGTAAAAAATTTAAAAATTCAATATGTTTCAAGAGATATTATCCTAGTAGAACAAGTAGGTATGTAATACAGTATAGATACACGGTTACTTGTTGTGAATGTTTAGATAGTATGAAACAGTATAATGACAAACGGAAAAGTGAGTTAAAAGAATAGTGACCTTTATACATAACATGGAAGGTTCAAAAATCAAATGCTCAAGGTGTCACAGTAAAAAGACAGTTGAAGAATTCGGATACAGCAAGAACAACAAATTATTTGCAAATTGTATTCAATGCAGAGAGAAGAGGAAAGAGTATAATCGTAAATACAAAAAGCCAGACGACAATCCGTCAGAAATAGTTACTGTGTTTAACCATACACGGCAATTATTGCTTAATGATGAACTTCTTGAGAATTATTTTCGGATCTTCAGCAAGCAGGATAATAAGGTGATAATTGAAATTCCTATGAACAATGAGGTAAAGGGTATAGGCAATAAGCAACCATAACAAACCAGTGAAAACAACTCGTTCCCAAAACTATATCGGATAATGCATTCATAAGTATAATATAAACATACTGTATAAAAGGCATTGCACTATAAGTATATTATGATTACGACCTTTGAAACTAAACCTAGTAAAACCTATGAGAGAACCTTTGCCCATTTCTGAGATCACATTATACTTCTTGGAACAGATAAGGGTGGCGTTATTTGAAATTGTTTGTGAAATGGGTTGCAGTTCTTGAAAATTGTTGAGAACTGAATGAGAAAGGTTCAAATAATAGCGTGTTTTTTGGGTTGAAAAATTGCTTAAAAATTGAATTGTTTATCCTGCTTCAAAATGAAAAAATACGATTTTTTCATTTTGGTGTGCTCTTTCATATTTTGAATTTTGATGTCTGAAAATTGGAAAAAGTTGAAATTATTTGTTGGTATATTCGTTGGAAAAATATTTTTTATTTTTGGAAGTTTTGGGAGTAAATGGTATGCTGGTTGAGAAAATTATGGTGAAAAATGACTGAAAAAATTGATTTTGGCGTGGGGGGGTGCACGGTAAAGTTACCCATGAAACTGGGCAAGGATATTGCTAACTATATATTGGTATAATGGAAGCTAAAATGGAAACTACTATATAGGGGTTGGGGTTCAGGATGCTTCTGTTGGCTTAGTGGATGGTTGATAAGGTTGATTACCACAATCAACGCAAATAGTCACGATGGTGGACGCGGATATGAATACTTCAGTTCTCAGCATATGCCAACTCAAGAACAGTCATGGTCACCCTAAACCTTAAACCCCTAAAGATAGCATTCTGCTTGATGAGCCAAAGTAGGAGCTTTCCCCTCCACTGACCGCAGTTCATCACAACGGATCCTGTACAATCAAACTTGCTCCTGGCTGTTGACCATGCAGTAGCCGCAATCTGAACTCGGGTTCTCGTAAGCCACGCTGAACTGAACGTGAACCCCTTCGTCCATCCTTTGGAACCCACAGAATACTACTTGTAGTGGGAATCCCACCCTTCTCCCCATCCATGTATCCTGAAGCCTGAAGACTGCACATGATACAATAGTCCCCCCCTAAGTAGATAGGGGTTATATAGGGATTATATAGGGCTATATGGGGCTTGTATTGGGATAATGGAAAAGAAAATGGAAACTACTATTTAAAGCCTTCTCAGAACACTGAGGCAGGAGCTCGAGCATCGAACTGCTGCTCTTCCATGGTTGGAAGGAACAGTCCTTAGCTGAAATGAGTTGGGAAGTCCTGGTTTAGGAGTTTAGGATTCAGGGTTTAGGGCCGCTCCAGAGGGCGCCACACTGTGCCGTTGGCTTTTTGGTCAGAAGCCAACTGTTATGCGAGAGTTCTCCAGGAGTACAGGGACAGAAATAAACATAGTAATCATAATAATATTAATACTAATGGTAATACTACTAATAAGATTTGGGTTTTTGACTTTGGAGGTCCGCCAGAGGAGGCCAGTTCCAACATTTGCGATTGTTAGAATCATTGGGTGGCCACTTGCAAGGAGCGGAGTTTGACGACAACGTCAGATGGGCAAGCAATGCGCAGGCAAGACAGAGCTGCACTTCACCACCTTGGAGCACTTCCCAAAAATATCTGTAACCGCCTACACCCTAAACCCAAACACTAGTAGAAGAAAAAGAAGAAGAAGCTTGCTGCTTTCAGGCAGTATGGGTTGAGCCTGATTGTGAGACATGCTCATCTTGCCGCTAGCCCGATCGAGTGCCTTTTCATGGTCTGTGTTGTCAGCCGTTCGCGCTGACACAGTGGTCAAGCCCAGGGTCGTTGTACTGGAAGTGCGTTAGGATATTTGTTGCGGGTAAGGTTTCGTTACGTTTGACACCAGCAAGAAGGGCTGCAGTGACGAGTGCAGGCCGATCTGCAGTTGCTTCAAGACATCTTCAAGCAGTTGAGATCTCAGTGTAAGCTGGCAGCTGTTGCGCTTGTGAAGCCTGATTTTCTGATGTCGGCAACAGGCTCTTGAAACTAAAGGACCAATTCAACGATGGCAGCGTTGAACTGTTTGCCTGTCTTTGGATGCTTCTTTTTATGCTTCCTTGAACTTTGAACGGGGTTTGATCATCCCAGCCTTTCTCAGGCCGTCTGGCTTCTGCCTGAAATCTGCAACATGCGCAGCCGTGCGAGCGGCATTGAAGGCTGCCGAGCATGCTGCTTGTGAAGGTAAAACGGCAGTGCCTGTTGGCAGTTGGCTCCAGCAACATTACCAAGCAGGGACCTTCCATGACTTACACATTATAGTAGTTTCCATGTTATTTTCCATTATCCCGATATTACCTCAATATATTACAGTAGTAATGTGCCCAGGGTCCCTATGGGTACCCCTGTTTCAGATGTCAACTTGCAACCCTAAACCCTAAACCCTATGGGCACCCCTGTTTCAGATGTCAACTTGCAACGGCAGGCGGTGGCAAGGCGCCTGGCTGAAGCGTTGGCAGCCTCGCCCCCGTTTGTGACTTGCAAGCTGGTGGACTAAAAGATGCCGCGCTGCCAAAAGCCGATTACGAGAACTTGGGGTAATGTTAGGGTTAGATTGGGGTTATATTGGGATATTGGAAAAGGAAATGGAAACTATAGGGAGTATAGGGATTTATATATCTACCCTTTTTTGGTGTAGATGGGGGACACCGATTCTTTGAGCTCATGCGATTGTGTCTGGGAGAGCTTTACAGTGTGCGTCCTCACCGGCAAATGCAGGCGTTTGCGATTGAGTGTAGGGCTTTTTAGATGCTTTACATAAAGCCACAGGTATTCTTGAGAAAGAAATTTTGCTTGTTTAGTATCCCGGGCTGCTCAGACGCAAATGACAAGAGCTTGTGAGGCAGCGCATGCGCTCACGCACAGGGTCATAGACTCATAGACATTGTCAAAGCCATGAGCTTCGCGTATGGAGTCCAATACCCAGGATACGCCCAAGCGTATCCTGGCATCAGCTACGCGCCCGTGGCATACCAGCCACAGCAGGTGCAGGCACAGGCGGCTCAGCCTGCACAGCCTGCACAGCCGGCACAAGCCTACCAGGGCTTCAGTTATGCACCTGCAGCTACACAAGTGGCGCCAGCCGCTGCACCGGCGGCTGCCCCCGCGGCTGCGCCCGCGGCTGCACCAGCAGAGAGTTCGGGAGCCTGGCGGCTCGTAGTGTCAGGCTGTAGACATGAGACGGTGGCCCAGATTGTCCGTGGTCATTTCAACCGAGAGGGAGAGAATCATGGCCACCCAGTGTTCAAGAAGGAATCCCAGTGGAACGGCTTGGACGTGATGATTTATTTCTGGGCACCCTAGCTGAAGTATTACATGCTCAGTTGCTTTTGACATGCTTCACGTTCAGTCTGTATGAAACTTTGCCATGCGACCAGGACGAGCGTGATGGCCCGAGCTTCTCTGGCTGGTGGTTTGGGCCAAAGGTGGGTGGCGACCAGGTTTGGGCATACCAACCAGATAAAGAACCTGATCCCCCTGCAAGCGGCTGGCGGGTTCCCTACGACGGCCCTGTGGACAACACTTTCATCTTATACCCAGCTCCTGCCCCTGGTCCTGGCGCTGGTGCTGGTCCTGCTCCTGCTCCTGCTCCTGCGGCCTATCCGACTCCCGCGCCAGTTGTGCCCAATGTGGTCCCCACCGTGATCCCACCGCCCAGTTGGGCAAACAGCGCAGGCCCAAGCCCCTCAGCCCCTTCACCCTGGGACGCACAAGCACAGCAGGCACAGCAGCAAGCACAGCAGGCTCTGCAGGCGCAGCAGGCACTGCTCGCACAGCAGGCGCAGCAGCAGCAGCGCGAGCGGGAACAACGAGAGCAGCGCGAGCGAGAGATGCGCGAGCGGGAGCAGAGGGAGCGAGAAAGGCGAGAGAGGGAGCGGCAACAGATGGAGGAGAGGAGAAAGGTAGAAGCTCGGAAAGCTGAGGAGCTCAAACGGAGGGAGGCGGAGGTAGCAAAGAAGAGGGAGCTGGAGAAAGCTGCACAGGAGAAAGCTCAGCAAGAGCTTGAGAAGAGGCGGCTGGAGCAGCGCTCAGTGTTGGCTATTCGCCGACAGATTCAGAAAGTGCGCCTGGCGACGCCAGAGACCTTGGATGACTTGGAGAAGGAGCTCCGAGACATGCTGCAGCAACGGCCTTAGTTTGCATTTGGTAGGCTTACGCGTGTGTGAATCCTTATACATTTTGTTGCCTGAAGGGGAGCTCCTCTGCTTTGCTAAAAACACCGAGCACCGAGGGCGGCAGCCAGTGACGGGAGCCTCGGCTCCCAAGCCGAGACGGTGGCCGAGGAGGCGGCCTGCGGCTTGGACTCGGCAAAGAAGCGCTGCGAGAGCCTCAAGGAGCTGAAGCGAAAGCAGAACGAGGACGAGGCGAAGGCCAAGGCAAGGCGCAACACACTGTGACGCTCTTCATCATTATTTTTTTGTGTTGTTGTTGCTTTGCTTTTTCGCGATTGAGGCCTTCTTGTCAGAGCTCATGCGCCGCCTGGACAATGCGGAGGGAGCTGTGAAGGACTTGCACAGCATCCTCGCAGAGCACTTGGATACCAAAAAGGAGGGCGCGGAGGCAGCGGATGACAAAAAGGAGGACAAGAAGGATGACACAAAGGATGACAAGAAGGATGATAAAAAGGAGGCATCAGAACCGTTTTCGCCCTTCCCAGCTGCGGTGCTGGCAGAATTGCAGGTGGAGAGTTTGGGGAAAGCGATGGAGCTTTCACAAAGCGCGAAGACTGCCGCTCGGAAGGTTGAGGAGGCGGCCTTAGAGTGTGGGACCTTTGCGTCAGCAAACTCCAAGCTGAAAGAGGAACTCAAGGACTCAGAAGCCGCGGAACCCTTGCGACAAGTACCCGTAATTCTCCGACGCCTTCAAGCTGCCCAGAAGACTTCTGAAGCTTACGTCCAGGCCACGCTCACCTGTGAAAAAGACATGCGGCGCCGTGAGGCTGGGATGGGGATGTTGGGGGGGAAAGGGGAGGGAGAAATGCAGCACGTTATTGCATGACAAGCTTTCCAAGGCCTCGAAAAGGGAATCTTCCCGGCGGTCGGCGCTCTTCCGCGACTTCGACAAGGACGCTGATGGGAGGCTCTCGCAGACAGAGGCCACAGCCTTGGCGAAGAAGCTGCTGGCCGAGGCACAGAAAGTCAAGGAGACGAAGGTGAACGAGGAGGCCCTTCAACGATTCCTCCGGGGTGCTGTGGAAGAGGATGGCAAAGTGGAGAGCTTTGCCTTGCTTGCAAGCTGCGTGGGTGCCTTCCGTGAGATGGAGCGTGACGGCCGGCGACGCCTGACTAGGGAGGCACGGCAGAAGCTGCTGGCAAGCTTGCAGAGCAAGTGGCGCCGTCGGGTTCAGGATCTTGAGGGCTCCACCGGTTCGGATCTTGAGGCAACATTGAAAGAGGTGGAGTCTGCCGTGGCGCCGCTGCTCACAGAGACTTCAAGCCCTCCCGAACAGATGCAGACACGGGCCGAGGAGTGCGAGGCGATGATTCAGAAAGCACAGCAAAAAGCAGAAGACTTCCAGAAGAAAGTGCAGCAACTCCCTGTGGCTTTTCTGAAGGAGGTAAACTCGAAGCAAGTTCAGACTTCGGAGCTTGATGAGATCATGGCCCAGCACCAGAAGCGCTTGGCACTGCGCGCTGGCCGAACGGGGCAGCGCCTGGAAAGAGCCAAACGCCTCACCGAGCTCTTCCGCGCAAAAGCCAATCGGAAAGAGAATGACAGTATCGAAAAGGCCTTGGGGCAGCTACAAGAAGCCCTCAGAGCTTACGCCAAGAGCCAAGACTGGTCTCCTGAGCAGCTCTTCCGCTCAGGCTCTGAGGATTCGGAGACAGACATGACGGAGTCAGCCTTTTTGGACCTTTGCGCAAAAGCCACGAGCCCATGTAGCCAAGAGCTGGCCTCCAAGGTCTTCCAACGCGCGCTGCCCGAAGACGTCGAGGACTTGCCACTCTCGGCCTTCCAGCGCTTGCTGAAAGTCTTCTACAAGGTCACCCAGGAAACACCGATGACCGAGGACCGTCCCTGCTTTCATGTCCGCTGTTTTGGAAGTGCTGTCGAATGACCAAACCTGCCAGAGGAAGCCGAAGTGACTGGTGAGAATGCAAAAGTCCAATTGAAAGTGGGCCAGTTCTTGGAAGCATTGTCGGATCCCAAAGAGGTCAGCGAGGCCCTGTTGCTTTCCTACGCCTTCCTTCCCTCCCTATCTTTCCCCAGCCTGCGCGTGGCTAAGACATTTTCCTGTTTTCAGATTTGTCAATTTTGCAGGTGCAACGCCTTCGCTGCAAGGCACGGGATGGCTCAGAGGGTTGGGCGACGCTGTCGCATCTGCGTCCTGTGGTTCTACCGGCCTATGCCATCGGGCGCCGCTGCGTCCTCCTGGAAAAGAAGGATGTAAAGAGCGAAACCAAGGAGGTCCTGCTCCAGGGAGATGTCGTGGAGCTCTTGGAGGAGTCACAGGCCGATGTAGAGGCAGACGAGGCAGAGGAGGCAGACGAGGCCAAGGAGCCCAAGGAGGCCAAGGAGGCCAAGGAGCTTTTCGGCTTCGTTCAGACCCGTTCTGGCAAGTACGGCTGGATCTTCAACTGTGACCAGGTCCTCCAGCCCCTCTGAGATGGTAAGGCACGCCCAGAGGAAACATTGCCGCATAACCAGCATGTAGGGCACATTAGGGCACCATGGCAACATCTCTCATTGAGCAGAATCCCCCCTCTTAGCAAAGGCCCTGCAGTTGTCTGCCGCGGCCCAAACATAAACCAGCACGCTGGTCTGAGTTCGACAACCGGTCATACTGTCTTGGAGTCTAGGCATGATCATTCGCACTGGTTGTCATGCCATACTCTCCACCGTGGCACCGAGCTTTGTTGGTGGGGATGTTGCTTATTCAACGGGGCCGGAAGAGATGTGTCAGGCTTTGGAACTGCACGTGGCACTTACTAGTTCTTGTAGTAGGGAATGAAATACTTTTTAAGGACTATGTTCCCTTCTTTTCTACCAAGAACCAGCAGGCAAAAGAATTTGATGATATCTTCATTTCGCACAACAGCACATCGCAGCATGGTCTGAATGAATCCAGCCATGCACACCTGGGCGGTTCCTACACACCCGCCCAGAACTCAGGCATTCAAGCTTGCTGAGTCTGCCGCCATATAGGACATTACTGAGTATCCATGGTTGGGGGTTTCGCATTGAATTTCACGACATTTTCACATTTTGCAACCATCTTTGTATAGCAATTCCAACTCATATCCCAGAAGAGCTCCCAAATTGATATGGTCCCAGTCTACGCCTGAATGAGCCTCAGGGTCTTGGATTGGAGACGCATCTGCTTTTGTGATTGTGAACTACATCTCGTGGGACTTACTTGCTTCAGAGGTCGACTTTAACATCTGAGGCCTTGGAATGAACAGAATGCGCTTCGGCCAGCCTGGCCCCCAGCTAATGAAAACACCTGCAATATTGAAATCAGCAAGCATCAGACTACCACCACCACCACCACCAC